TGCCACCATACCCGGGTAATTTTTATATTTTTAATAGAGACAGGGTTTCACCATGTTGGCCAGGATGGTCTCGGCCTCTTGAGCTCATGATCTGCCATCCTTGGACTCCCGAAGTGTTGGGATTACAGGCATGAGCCACCATGCCTGGCTGCATATCTCTATTTCTAAGACCTCAACATCCCTGCTGCCTTTGGTCCACCATGGGACAGAATCTTGACATGTTTGACCTTTTACCACAAGGAGGAGCTGTGACTCCACTGAGATTAAGGGAACTCAGAGGAAGGACAGAGTATTCTCTGGATGGAAGACAGTTAAAAGAAATATCGGGTTTATTTGCAACAGGGGAAAATATTGTCTGCAGAAGCTGTGTTAATGCTGAAATGTGAGAGGTTAAATACAGACTGTTCATTTGCCTTGCTGTGCAGGTGCTTTTGTTCTAGCAAAGAGCCTAGACTGCCAGATTTGTTGCATGTGGCCCTACATGGGATGAGGAAGGGGGAGCTGGGAAAGAGGAGAGCTCACAAGCAGATGCCTAGGGAGGACCCCTTCCTGAGAGGAATAAGAGAGGCTCTGGACGCTGGGCCTCTGCTCCAGCTCAATCCTGCCAGGAAATGACTTCCTGAGACCTGGGCAGTGAGCCTGACAAATCAGGGCTTCCTCGAGGGATATTGCAAAGAGAGTAATTACCAAGGGAAATCTACTTATCAGACCAAGGAATACCTGGAGCACCATTCCCCTGACTCTAAATGATGAAAGACTTAAGCTAGAAAGGGTATTTTTTTTTTCTTTTTCCTCTTCTGGATGTTCCTCTAAGTTCTTGGAGCAAGAGTTTCTAAGGATAGGAAACCTGTCTCCTGGGTCTGAGCAAATGGTTCTATCAAAACAACATCATGACTCCCTTCCAGCTTCCAGCTTCAACATCTATCCCTTCTCCCAAGACCCACGGAAGCTAGACTTGTCCAGATGTCAAAAGATGATGCCAAACAGTTGGAGATGGGAAAAAAGGTGGCGTGGACAGACCTCCAGGATGCACATCTGAAACAGGCTCTTCATTTTGTTTTCACTACAGGCTCCTGTTTCACCTTTTCAAAAAGCAGTTGAAATTTCCCTTACTTCTTGGAAATCCAAAAATACAGGAAAGATACATTTCATATAGGCTCTAGCTATTCATTAGGATGGAGCTTCAGAGTATCTCTATACTCTACCAGATATATTCTAGCATGCTGCCTGGAAGTGAAAGTCTAGGCAGACAGTTTAACAGGAAAACCATTAGCCGTGCTGTGGAGGTTAATTTTGCAGTTTATCTTGGAATGGAAGAAAAGAATGTATTGAAGGTAGGAAACTCATTTCTACATGCTAGATTCTAAATTTCTTAACTTTCTGTAGTATGAGCCATTTTCGAATGTACTAAAAGTTATAAAAGTAGACTATGCGAAACACACACTTCTAAGCTCAATATTAAATATTTAAAGTGACTACCGTAAGAGTTGGAGAGTCAAGGTACCCCTTGGCTTTTCAAACTCCTACCCTCACAAAAAATCTAGAACTTCTTCTCAGCAACAAAAGTAAGATGACGTATAATCATTTCTCATTGTTAATAAACAATCTCTATCCATCATGGCATTGCATTTAATTTATGTTAATTGTCGCTAACAAAGGACTACAGATTAAACATTTGTGATCCATATAATAATAGAAATAATAAATGCAAATATTTTAAGTGGACAAGCGATTTTAATAACTCAACAGGCAAATAGCATGAACTGACGCTTCACAAAGGTGAAGGACACATGGCCTGTGACAGGATGTCTTATCTGGCTTTGGTCTGAATTTCATTTGGAAAACTGGCAGCTGCTGGTCGACCTGCAGAGTTATGATCCCATGAGCTGAGATGCATGTTGACTTTTGTATGTTTTTGTCAGCTTGAAAGAATTGTTTTAAATCAGGGTCATTGTCTCCAGTAACAAGCAGCCAGCTGTGTCGAATGGAAGTGAAACCATGGCCCTTGTCCCGCTGCAGACCTGGAAACCCAGTGATGAGCATCAGTGAAGAGAGAGACAGAATCAGATGACATGAAATCGACATAAGATTCTGCTCAGGAAACTAAATATGACATAATTGGGCACAAGAGATTGTCCGTTCTATTCCACCAGAGCAGACAGCATGGTTTTCCCGTGAGTTCTTGGAGAGCTGGAGGAGGGAGACAGCTCTGCCAGGTGGAGTGGTTTCCTCATGACAAGTGTAAAAAGAAGAGGCGGAGATGGAGATTTTGACTCTAGAAGGGTGGAAGATTTTGCTTGTAAACATATCAACACACTTGCCTTTCTCGCTAAGACGCAAACTTTGGGGGAATTGCCCAAATATAAGACGAGGTTTAACTATAGGGCAGCCAAAAATATGACCCATGTTCAAAATATGCATTGTGGTATCATTCAGTTCGACGTGTTCTGGTTCTTCTGCAGCCTTTTGTCTCATTCCCTTTGCCCCTACAACTGTCCGCCTTTTTGTGGATTAAGTTATATCCATGATAAAGTTATTATATTTTCTTCCTTCTTTGACTTTCTTGTTGGAAGCCTGGCTCTTCCCAGGGATCTAAGCGTCTATCCTCTCTCCCTTCTGTAGCTTTTTTCCCCTACTGCAGCATAGTGGGCCCTGTCAGAAAATACATACATGATCAATTTATTTGTTCCTTTTTATCCTTTGGACAATTCCTTTTTTTTTTTTTTTTCCCCGTTGAGACTGAGTCTCGCTCTGTCGTCCAGACTGGAGCGCAGTGTCACAATCTTGGCTCACTGCAAGCTCCGCCTCCTGGGTTCACGCCTTCTCCTGCCTCAGCCTCCTGAATAGCTTGGATTACAGGCTCCAGACACCAAGCCCAGCTAATTTTTTTGTATTTTTAGTAGAGACGGGGTTTCCCCATGTTAGCCAGGATGGTCTCGATCTCCTGACCTAGTGATCCGCCCGCCTCAGCCTCCCAAAGTGCTGGGATTACAGGCATGGGCCACTGCGCCCGGCCTAGACAATTCTTGAAGGGCAATAAAACACTTTTGCTTTTCATGTCTCCTGTAAAATACAAAACAAAACAATACCCAGAACTAACATTGCCTCATGTGAGGCTAGTTTCTTTCTATCAGTTTCGTTCCAGTGCCTCTCCCAGATGCTGTCCACCTGATTTGGTACAAACTCTTGCGTAAAATACTGAGATACATATTTATTTAAAGTCTACTCTTTAAGAGTGGTTACATCTTTATATAGTTATCATCATCACCGTTGTATACAGCCTCTTGTCATTTCACTATCTTCCCTCCCTTCCTTCCTTTCCTCATTAGAAAAGCTTCCCATGTCAGCTGTGTGGTGCAATGAGGTAAGTACCGAATAAGACCCACATCTAGCGGAGTACCTGCTTATGTTCACAGAATTTTAGAACTAGACAGAATGTTGAAAATTATTTACTTCTGCCCACTGTTTCATAGATCAGGAAACGGGATGCTTTTAAAAAAGTATTTAAATGCAAGCAGTAACTATATTGCTGGCCTCCATGTAACATGCATTTCATATTCTTAGTCTACAGGTAATGTGTGAATGTGTTTTTGCTCCTATTGGATTATAAGCATCATGAGAGTGAGAATATAGTTTACTCATGCTTGGTACTAAGTAGACATTCAATGACTATAAACAAATAAAGCATGCTTGACGTTCCAAGAAGGATGGTGGTCATTTTTCTTTTGTTTAGTTCAAGTTCTGTGTTTAGTAAATCACAAATGAACCATCAGGGTCTGTGTTTGCAGGGGATTCACCTGTAGATGACAACACTACCGAAGTGTGTGTGTGTATGTGTGTGTGAAATGCCATTCTGGCTGTGCTAGTCCCTGGTTTTCCTCCTGGAGGTTCCTGCCCTGGGGTCACTGACAGAGGCATTGAGATCTAAGTGCTGGACCTTGCTGACCAGAGCAGGAGGAGCTGCGGCCCTGCCACACCCCCAAGGTTGGATGTTTGATGGCTGGCAGAGGAGGGGAGTAGCATGGGCAAGAATAAAGGGGACGGGGTCCTCAACAGGGGATAATCCAGAAAACACAAAGGCATGTTGTGTTGTCACATTGGCATCAGGCGGGTAGGGCCCAAGGATGCCGCTAAGCATCCTAGCTGAACAGGACGGCCCTCTACAACCAACAATCACCTGATCCAACATGGCACTCGGGCTGAAATTGAGAAACTCTGCTATAAGCTTGAGTTGCAAACTTTGTACCAACAAGGAGGATTATCTGCAGACAACTCAAGAGCAGTACCATCACCTGCATTTGTTTTCCGCAACAACCCTGTTGTTTACCTTTATCACCATTCAGTCACAGCACACAGTAACTGCATGTTGTCCAGCACCCTCCTGTTTCCTCATAGATCTGTCCCTTGGACAGATAAGGACATCAGAGGGAATAGGGCTGCAGTTCACTCCCAACAATGACCCTTCAACAGGGTTTTCTCTGAACTAGCATCACAGTCATGTGGGTTAGGTGGCTGTAGCTGGTACTCAGGTGAAATCTCAGGCCAGTCTTTCCTGAAAAAAGGGAACCACTGACCATTAATCAGAATTAATCTTTGCAAAGATTCAAGAGAGCAAAACAATGTCCTGTATTATTGTGAAGGGGAAGCAAAGGATCCAGAGAGGAACAGCAGCCTGACTCTGAGGGAAGGGCATGAAAGGGAGAGGAAGGGAGGGAGTGGTCAATCCCGGGTAAGAAGCAGGGAGGGAGGGGGCTGATGGCACAGGAATGACTGTCAGAGACACATCCTGGAGGCCACAGTTCAACCCTCTCAACTTTTCCCAGAAATTTCAAAAACTTTTAAAGCAGCAAGTGCAGGGCATGAAAAGGAGGAGCCATGCTAGAGGACAGTCTGGGAATGGGGAAATGATTACAGGCTGTGACCTCACTGGTGCAGCCCCTCTCAGCGGCAGTGGAAAGCACAGCCTAGACTTCTCACCACTGCACACCAGAATCCTGCCCCAGGCCTTGCCTGGTCTGCCTGACTCTGCCATGGGCTGCAGGCTCCTCTGCTGTGTGGCCCTCTGCCTCCTCCAAGCAGGTGAGTCCTGGGCCCAGGTGACATCATCCTGTTGGAGTCCCTAAGTCTTTTCACCATGACAACAACAGCAGGCTACCTCCTGGGATTTGCCTGAATTCTACTTCTTTCCTTTGCAGGTTCCTTGGACACAGCTGTTCCCCAGACTCCAAAATACCTGGTCACACAGACAGGAAAGGAGGAGTCCGTTAAATGTGAACAAAATCTGGGCCATGATGCTATGTATTGGTATAAGCAGGACTCTAAGAAATTGCTGAAGATAATGTTTAGCTACAATAACAAGCAGCTCTTTATAAATGAAACAGTTTCAAATCGCTTCTCACCTGACTCTCCAGACAAAGCTCGTTTAATTCTTCACATCAAGTCCCTGGAGCTTGGTGACTCTGCTGTGTATTTCTGTGCCAGTAGCCAAGACACAACTCTGCAGAGTCACCGCATCCCTGTGCACAAACCTCCCGGCTCAGCCAGGAAGCTGTGGGCCAGTGTGTGCACCTGCACCCAAGGCTCCAGTCTCCACTGTCTGATGGCCTCTGATGGAGTTTCAGTCTGTAGTACAGCCGTAGTACACCCAGTGGAGAAATCCTCTATTTTATGCACACAAAGTCTCACAGAATTGTTTCTCAGCTGGAGCAGGGTTTCACAACAAAGCCACTGAAGTATTAGGGCTCCACAAACAAAAACGGAGCCTGTCCCATGCACTGAAGATCTGAACTGGTGGAGGAAACCATTTCTTGTCTTTCTGTGCTGCACACATGGGTTCATATTTTATATAACATTATGATCAAAAACACATGATTGCTAAAAATGGTTGATGAGCACAAGCATAAAGGAGGGGGAAGGAAATATTTCTAAGATCAAGAGACAATTCTGATGATCAGTAAGTACTTTATTTAACAGAAAAGTATTTGGAGAGGCATGAAATTCCATGGCAATAGGTAAACTGGAAAGTGTTGAGGAGAAGCTAGTGGAGGCAGCCTTGTGCATTGTAGGCTCCTTCTCTTCAAGAAGGGTGACCAGCAAGCGTCTCTCCCAATTCTGATGAAGGTCATCTTGAACTCTCCTCAAGAGTAGGCAATAGTTAGGAGACTAGGGATATCCGGAGACCTGAAAGGACTTTGGACACAAATCTCTAGGCAGCGGTGAGACATTGGTCCTACTCCAAGTGAAACAACATGACGAAACTGGTATTTTGGTACAGGAACACTGGTAGTAGTATGGATCAGAAAGGAGATAGATTTTTGGGTGGCATGAAGAATTAGGAGACTTCTAAATATCCTACATGAAAAATTAGAAAGACTTTATGTGAAGCATTGTGGACAACATAGGCTCGAGGCTCTGTATTATGTTATTTCTTGGAAATAGTATTGGGTTTTATTCTGGGAGGGTTGAATATATCATTAGCTAGGGTCTACTTCAACTTTGCCCTCCCTTTTAGGGAGCCCCAGCATGTGGTCAGCATTGCTAGTGCATGCCTTTCCAGCTACTCAGGAAACTGAGGCAGAAGAATCGCTTGAGCCTAGGATGTGGAGGTTGTAGTGAGCCGAGATTGCGCCACTGAACTCCAGCCTGGACAACAGAGCGAGATTCCATCTCAAAAAAAATAAAAAGAAAAGACAAAAGAAGGAAAAAAAGAAATCATGAAATAAAGCAAGCATCCTGTAAAAAGATTGTTTAGCTTAAGGTTACATAAGAACCCTCCAAGCAATCACCTGTGTCACCACCGCGTCACACCCTGCACTGAGCCAGACACCGTCCTGTAAGGAGCCGAGTTCTCCTGACACTTCATGCTCAGTGGTTTCCATGACTCTTCTTTGAGACCAAGGGTTCCCTTCGTTATAGGTTTTTGTCATGCAGAGTCAAGCAGCACTGAGCATTGGGAAATCAGAGAAGGAATTTCCAGACAAGGGTCCCAGTTCAGAAGCCAACTGGAGAAGACAGTAGGAGACTCACCCTTTGAGAAATGGGTTTGAGAAATATGTATCTATTTTCACCACTTCTATTATTCTATATTCCTGCTTGTCTATTCCTTAATTTCTCCTTTTAACACTCAAAGCTAGACTGTGGATTCTAGCTCTGATCAAAGCTCCAAATGTGCACAGACACCTTCTCTGAACCCTTCAGGCAGCAAACGTGCCTCTGTCTGCTCCCCTTGCTGCAGAGCCCGTAGATCATGGTCTAGAAGCTTCCTGACTCATCCACTCTCCTTCCCTCGGCTGGAAGTCTCCTTGTCGGTTTCAGATCTCAGCTCACCACTGGATTTCCTCTCCAGACTGACACTTGAAGGACTACTTTTGCCACTTTATTCTCATTATTCTCAATGCCCTCCCCTAACTCCACCCTTATAATGCCCCAATTTATTAGAGGCAAACCAGTTCTATTCCTTTTTGGTGCCCTTTTAAAATGCTGTGTATGTTGCTATAACTTTTCAATTTTGTTGCAGGCTTTGATTTCCTTATCCATTTCTTCAACTGGATTATGAGCTTCTGAAGAAAATATTGTATGTTAAAATCTCCAGTTTATGACACTGTCTCTGGGCTAGAGTAAATGCTAAGCTTCTTCTTTGCTGCATTGGGCACTTAAGCCTTGTCTAAAACATCTTCACCAATAGTCACCCAGCCTCTATTCTGGACAGGAGACTACAGTACCTTCTGGAAAATTCTTCCTTCTGTCGAGCCAGAAAATCGTCTCCTTAGAGCTTTGAATCTTTTGCTCTCGGTCCTATACCTTGTGGACATAGGATCAGGAGAGGCATAATAAGAAGGTAAGTAGTCAACAAAGCCAAAAGAAGATTGTAGGTTCTAAAATAGTTAAAGATGAGTCGGGTAAGTGAAAACCCTAGCCCAACTAATATACATTTTTCTCTTTAGTTAGCAGCTACACATTGTGAAAGGAAATCTCAAAAGTGTCTCCCCATTCCTGGGGCATAGCATGCCCGGTGCTAGTAGTCAAAGCTGATGCTGGCTTCTTTCTAGACAATCCAGCAGAAATAGTTTCTTAGAAAAAAAATAGTTGGAACAGGACTAGGTGGATTGCTCTAAGATCTGTCTTGAAGTCTCCTTCAAAAAAACCTTCTGTTATTGCATCAATTCCCAACTGATAACTGGTTTTCTACATAGTCTTTGAATGCTGATGAGAATAGTTTGTGCCACATTACTTGATGATCAGTCAAATATCATCCATGGTTTTAAAAAGCTGTGTCATCTCAATGTTGGCTCAGTCTCACCATCTAGAATATTCACACACACTGAAAACAAGGATGTATGTCCTATGGGTTTTTTTCATTTGTATTGACTTATTTTCCCCTTTCACATGGTACCCATTGCAATCAGGGTCCTTCTATATATCTGTGGTCAATGGGTGTTCAGTAACCAGAACAGAGCATAGGATCAGTCCTTGAACCGAGTCTTCAGACAGGCCTTCGAATGCTGAGAAGAAAACATCTGGTTGTGGTTCTCAAGCCTTTGGTCCTAGCAAGATGAATGAGAGGTGATTAGAATGTCTGTGCACCTGAAAATATTGGAAGGGGACCCCCAGCTCCCACTTTGAAGGGAGAGAATGGAAAGAGGCATGTGGTGGGCTATCTGGAGCAGCTGCTGTTGCACCTTTAAGGTGTTCTGCAAATGCTGGCACGTAAAGTGGGTGGTTGCATGAGGAAGGAGAAAAGAGAAAGTGATTAAGATACAGCCGGTGACCTTAGGAAGATCCAATTGAGTAAGGGAGACAAGTACTTACATCAACGGGTGTTAGTATGGAAGGAAAACCCTAGGATTTTTAGAACCACAAAATTGGCATTCCTCCCTGAAAAACGAGGTGAAGAATCATAGAGCTACACAGGGCTCAGGGAAGCCCAGACGAATCAACTACAAACAAGCTCATTAGCAGCAACCATTACCCTGTACACTAAGAAGATCTTCCTAAAAGGTCCTGAGGCCTTCCCTGCTCATTGCCCATGTCAGGTGCCTCAAGTTATGCAATAAACACACAGTGACATGAATATAGAAGAATAACGTGCATTTCTTTGTGTCTGCCTAGAAGGGAGGTCTGTTGGAAGGAGATAGAGACCATGCAGCATGTGGAAAGTGTCTCCCCAAAAGTGGGGTGGAGTCCAAATGGGGTGTGGAAAGCAGCCTCCTGCAGATTGTGGAAGCCCCGGCAAATTGCAAAGGACACTGCATAGGGCAAGGCATCCCTTGTGTGGTATGTCACAAATTGGACTGAGAGAAGGAGAGTTTCACCTCTCCTAGGTGGTCTCCCTGGTACAGGAAGTCAGAACTTGAATGGAGGGATGAGGCCATTTACAAGGGAGTGGTGGTGGCAGCCATAGCATACACGTAGTTACAAGCAAAGGGACTGATCAAATATGTAAATCTGTAAAGTTAACAGAATCAAACTTCTCAGTGTTGGATAAGGGAGTTGCAAATGTGGAAAGAGAGAACAGTGGAACACAACAATAAACCTAATAATATTGGAAGGGAACTAGTGTGAACTCATCACTTCTCAATATGTATAGACAGGAATTAAAGATACCTGTAAATATATGTATACTGTGAAAATACATGTGTATGTACAGCTCTATCCACTGTGATGCCTAAGGGTAGTTCACCCCAAAAGCACCCCAAAACATCTAGTGTCCATATTCTGTTTTCTAAATACTACTGTCCGTGAGAAGGAACCAGGACTTTTGGACAAATAGTAGATACCAAGACAGGCAGGAAAAGCCTAGAATCCCTTGTGCCATCAAGCAAGAAAATGCTCAAAGAATGATGGGGACCCTGACAGGAAGGAGAATTTAAGAATTAACAATCCCTCTATTTGCATATCTCCTTTGGACAATGCTTCATCAACATTGAAAATTTATCATTTATTAATAAAACCTTTGAAATAAAAATTATTTTTATCAGTTACATTCCAACCTTACATACTGAGACTATGACCTGATTTCTGTAGATTTACAGATACAAATATACCAATGCCAACCGCAGCACATTAGAAACACAATTTTTAAGTGCTTAGACCTACCTTTTACCTGTGGATTTTACTGTTTTCCATTCCACCCATCTATCCATTGAGCAATTAAGCAAACATATATTAAGCACCTGCACTCTGTAAAGTATTTTGATAGGAGCCATGAAGCATGTAAGGTTCTGGCACAGCAGCTTGGTGAAGTCTACCCTGCTTGGCTTACATTGTTTCAGAGCTGGGTAGACAGTTGGGGAAAATTATTTCAGCCTCTCCCTACAACCAAATTTCAAGGATGAGGAAATGAGAAGGTCAGTATATGAAATGATTTAGGCACCTAAAAACCAATTACTTTAACCTTCCTAAAGCATACCCTGTAAAACTTTCCAAATTAGATGTTATCTTTAAACATGTCAAACATGTCTTATCAGCTCCTGGAATCCCTGAAGCACTTAGAGGATGAGAACATTATTCACAAAAGCTTCTTGAACAAGTTAAAATGGCCATGTGCCCATGAGAGTTGTTTTTATTCACTGCTCTATTCCTGGTCCTCAAACAGTGCCTGCCATATAGTTACGTGTTCCATAAATACCTATTGGATCATATTTATTTTTGATAACTTAAGTGTATTTGTGGAGGCTGTTGGAGGCATTTCACCAGTAGGTGGTAGTTAGAGTTGCTAAGCCTTTACTTCAGGGTTTCAAATGCCTTCTTGCTTTGTGCGTTCCCCTGTGGAATCCCTTTGTGTATCTATGCTCCCAGTGCTGTATCTGGAGGACTGGGGGCAGATGGCTGAGACAAGGGCCATGTGCCTCTTTCACCTCCAGGAGGAACTGTGACTTTAGGGACATTCCTGAGTCAAGTGGAAGGAGGAGAAGAGAGGCAGGAGGGAGGAAAGGACTAAGGAAGGAATCAAATGCTCTGGCATCAGAGTTTGCTCCTTATGCTAGTTGAGAGACCATGTGTGGACAACATGAAGACACTGAATCCATTCCACCTGGACCTGCGTAGCATTGTCTCTGCAGTCCCTCTGCTCATGCCCTTAGGGCCTTCTGTTATTCTAGTCTGTGTTCAGGTCCGGCATCCTAAGTAAGTGAGATGCTCCCTGGGGGTAGAGTTCGCAGATTATTCCTCTCGTGCCCCCTCAGCACCCACTGAAGGATGCTCCCTCCCTACTTGGCATTACATTACTGGGTCTTAAAATGATGCACAGCTGGCCCCAGGGAAGGGCTCCGCTGAGCCAGGCGAGGTGGCCTCCTGGAATTCACCGAGATGAGGGAGTGGAGCCGGAGTGCGCTCGTCCTGGGTCCAAGACAAGAATGGTAAAGGCATCTGCCCAAAGGTAAGGAGTCTGTGTGTCAGGGAGGAGGGGAGCCACAAGTAGAAAGAGGAAGGGGAGACCCAGTCATTCATTGTGGGAAGGGCAGGCAGTTAGTTGCTAAGAAAAAATCAGCTATCTGAGGAAGCTTCCCTGCACACCTGACCCTGACAAGCTAGTCTATACCCACCTCTTGAGGTGCCGGCACAAAGCTTGGAAGGGAAAGAGGAAGTGTGAGCTGTAGACACTAAGAGTGACACCAACAGAAGCAGACTTTCCCAAGCAGCCCCTGTCTCAGGGCCAGGGAAGCAAACCCATAGGATCAGAACGCCAAGCAGGGAGACTCAGGGTCCCCCCTTCCCGCTCCATGTGACCCTGCGGTGTGCGCGGGCTCCACTGTGGTGTCATCCTTTTTCTCAGGTGAATCCTGGGCACAGGTGGGACATTTGTGTCCTTCGATTTTTGGCTTTTTTCATGGAACTGCCCCAGAAGACTCTGTCCTGGGCTTAGTCTGAATTTGCTTCTTACTTTCACAGACCCCACAGATACTGGAATTACCCAGACACCAAAATACCTGGTCACAGGAATGGGGAGTAAAAGGACACTGAAATATGAGCAACATCTGGGACATGATTCTTTGTATTGGCACAGACAGAAAGCTAAGAAATCCCTGGAGTTCAGGTCTTACTGCAACTAAGAGGAATTATTGAAAACGAGACTGTGCCAAATCACTCTACACCTGAATGCCCTGACAGCTCTCGCTTATGCCTTCATGTGGTCGCGCTGCAGCCCGAAGACACAGCAGCCAAGACACAGCCCTGCAGAATCATCGCCTCCCTGTGCGACAGGAACCCGTGGGGGCAACGCGTCCAGCAGAGCCTCAACACTTGGTTCAGCATTCCATAGGACCTCGGCAGAAATCTCAGACCATAATACTGTCATTTATCGGATATAACAATGCTACATTGCCCTGACACCAGCAGCCTGTGGCCTGAGTTTGTCTTGAACAAGACTGTGCCTGAACTTGAATGGAAGACCGATGATGTCAAGTTTAAGTTGTTCCAAGTATCTTCCAGTTGGTTTGTGCCTCTGGGAAATCTTGTGTGAAGCATTTAATACTCTGGCCACACCAATCCACCTTCCAATATGAACCTTTTCTGACTTTTCTTTCCACCCAAATTAGACCCTGAATCACAGCCCTCATCCCAGCTCCAAATGTGCTCAGACCTTTTCTATTGTTTTTGTTTCTTTGGTTTTTTTTGTTGTTGTTCTTGTTTTTTTTGTTTGTTTGGTTGGTTTGGTTTTTGAGATGGAGTTTCACTCTGTCACCAGGCTGGAATGCAGTGGGGCAGCCGATCTCAGCTCACTGCAACCTCCGCCTTCTGGGTTCAAGCGATTCTCCTTCCTCAGCCTCCCGGGTAGCTGGGACTACAGGCACTGCCACCACAACTGGCTAATGTTTGTATTGTTAGCAGAGATGGGATTTCACCATGTTGGCCAAGACGGTCTCGATCTCTTGACCTCATGATCTGCTCACCTCAGCCTCCCAAAGTGCTGGGATTACAAGTGTGAGGCACTGCGGCAGGTCAGAACTTTTCTATTCTTTTTTTTCTTTCTTTATTTTTTCCCTATCTCCTCCTTAGGTGGCTGTATCAGTGCTTAACTCTGAGGACAGTAGTTCCCCATGGGGTTTGGATCATTGTTCTCTAGTTCACTCTCTCAGGAGCATGTGCAGTTTCAACTTCTTGTTGGCTTCTCTCTTCCACTCAGGATTTAAAACTTTCACGCTTGATTCTTTTCATTCTGTCTTTTAAATCCTAATACCACGTTTTCTTGGCATCCATTATCAGTGGTAGAGTCTGTTGCACCTGAATTGTTACTCACAGCAGGTAATAAGACAAGAAGACCTCCTGGGTTTTCTGAGCCGGACTTTGTACTCAGGGTTACCTTGCTGAGCCCCATATCTTCCAGCACTGCTCTTAGTAATGGCCCTCAATCCTGCACACACCATCAGACCCCAGGGCTGAGCAGAGCCCTGCACTGTCAGGTTTCCGCACCAACACAAAGGATCCCTCCTCTCTCCTATAGAGGGCGCTCCAGGGATGGTGGGTGTTGCCCCAGACACCAGTAACTCTGCCAGACCTTGCCTGTGGGGTCATGGGAGCTCAAAATGCCACTCATTTCCTCCACAGGACCAGATGCCTGAGCTAGGAGAGGCCTCATTCCTGCTGTGATCCTGCCATGGATACCCGCCTCCTATGCTGGGCAATTTTTAGTCTCTTGAAAGCAGGTTGATGCTTAGGACTCTGGGAAATTCTTGCTTTGAACTTACCTAAGACAGCTCTAAACCATTCTCTTAATCTTCTTCTTTTCCCACAGGACACACAGAACCTGAAGTCACCCAGACTCCCAGCCATCAGGTCACACAGATGGGACAGGAAGTGATCTTGCGGTGTGTCCCCATCTCTAATCATTTCTACTTCTATTGGTACAGACAAATCTTGGGGCAGAAAGTCGAGTTTCTGGTTTCCTTTGTTAATGATGAGATCTCAGACAAGTCTGAAATGTTCGATGATCGATTCTCAGTTGAAAGGCCTGATGGATCAAATTTCACTCTGAAGATCAAGTCCACAAAGCTGGAGGACTCAGCCATGTACTTCTGTGCCAGCAGTGAAGCCACAGCCTTACAAAGACACCTCCAGTCTGTTCAAAAACCCTCATAGATCTGTCTCCCTCCCAGCCGCCAGCTCCCACTTCCTGTCTAAGAAAAGGAAGTATCTGGTTGGGTTTGTTCTTGCAGCCATCTCCAAATAGACAGATATCTGAAATTAAATTCCCAAAGATATCTTGGGCAGAAATGGTCAGATACTGTAGGATTTGAAGAACTTTTACAGATACTAGAAGGCGTGACTGTGGACTCTGAGTATAGGACAATTGCACACGACCACATAACCAGTATCTTTTCTTTATTCCCATTTTGCCATTTTTATTAGACTTTTTTTTTGTTTTAGTTGTTTAGGAAAACATATTTTGACTCAGAATTGCAAGATGATTACTGAGCGGGAGTTCAGGTATTTCCACAAGAATATAGAGGGTCCCCATGGGAACCTTCAGAAAGAGAAGGGGCTTGGTACAAGGGCCTCAATATCAATGAGTCTTGCTCAGCGTGTGGTCAAGAGCAGAACAATCTGATGACCCTGTCAACCTGGTGTGATGCATTTGGGCTAATGATGCTAGCTCGCAAAATAACAAGTTAAGAGAGTAGAAAACATGGAGTCTAATATTGGGACACCATTTTACACCATTTCAAGGTCAACAGAGGTCTAGACCAGCATGAGAATCGCAAGAATAAAGCCAGGCAGTGCAGGAACAGAATTCAGCAGCAAAAGTCAAGAGACATCTAGAGGCAGAGGCAGGAATGAATTTGTCACTTTCAACTTAACATGAGCAGCCAGATTAACTTCTTGAGTTTCATTTAAGAAACTATTGCTGTTTTAAACATATCTACTGAATTCTAAATTTTAGGTATTTTGTATATTTCAGTTCTGGAATTTCCACTTAAATCTTTCTACAATTTCCAGTTGTCTGCTAAAAATCTACATTTTGTCATTTACTTTGTTGACTATATTAACCTCCAACATTTGAAAGCCAGTTTTGGATAACTTTAACATCTGAATCTGTTTGGGTCTGTTTCTTTTTTGTTTTCTCTGTTTGGTTTCTGGACATGTGATTTTGTTTTCTCACACAACTAGTAATTTATTCGAATGCTAAATATTGTATATAAAAACTATAGAGATAATCTGAGGCTCTGAGTGATTTCATCTTCCTCAAATGATTCACTTTTGCTTCTGCTGGGAATTGTAGCAGGGGCAGATCACCTTAATTGAGCTTATGACTGAGCTGGATCAGAGCTGAGCTTCATCCTGCATGACGGCTGCTCGCCTTTGGTCTTAGCCATTTAAGTTCCAACTAGATGTTTGGAGTTTAACAGCTTAATCAAAGTGTAAATTGCATAACATAATATTTGCTATTGTAAGTATGCAATTCAATGAATTCTGATAAATTTGTGGAGTTGTGCAACAATCACCTTGATTCAGCTGTAAAACATTTCATCCTCCCCACCCAGATAGTTCCTTTGTGCTCATTTTCAGTCAATCCCTGCTTCTGCCCCCAGCATCAAGGCCTGGGGTCTTTGCCAGGCTCCTCTCCTATTCAGTAGTCACTGAACGTAAATGTTCTCCAGATCAGAAAGGTGGTGGATGCTCCTCAAAGCCTGCTACACTCTGTCTTCCCTTTTTTCGTCAGCCACTTAGCCAATGATATACAATTGGCAAATGACTTAGAGGCAAAAGTGGTCTGTTAGATCTCTTTTTTCTCGTTGAGGTCCCAATCCCTTAATTTCTGAATGCCTCAGTGGCTCCAAGTGTCTTCAAACATTTATTTTTATATTTTATTAAGTTTTTCTAGTTGTTTTCGGTGGGAATGTTGTTCTGCAAAACTTAGTCTATTAACTCCGAAAGCCAGTTTTTATATTTGTCAAAGGTGAGGTGCAATTTTGTATGTTTGTATTTTAGTTAGAAGCCTTTTGAAGAAAGGAAGAAGTGAACCTCTCTGTCTTTCTTTCTTTTTTTTTTTTTTTTTTTTTTGAGACCGAGGCTTTCTTGTGTCACCCAGGCTGCAGTGCAAAGGGGCGATCTTGGCGCACTGCAACCTCCACCTCCCAGGTTCAAGTGATTCTCTTGCCTCAGCCTCTGGAGTAGCTGAGATTACAGGCACGCGCCACCACACCCAGATAATTTTTGTATTTTTGGTAGACAAAGGGTTTCACCATGTTGGCCGGGATGATCTCAGCGTTTTGACCTCATCATCTGCTCACCTTGGCCTCCCAAAGTGTTGGGATTACAGGCATGAACCACCGCACCCGGCCACATATCTCCTTTTCTAAGAGCTCTACCCCACTTCTGCCTTTGGTCCACCATGGGACAGAGTCTTCACACGTTTGACCTTTTACCACAAGGAGGAGCTGTGACTCTACTGAGATTAAGGGAACTCAGAGGAAGGACAGAGCATTCTCCGCATGGGAGACAGTTAAAAGAAATATCGGGTTTATTTACAACAGGGGAAAATGTGGTCTGCAGAAGCTGTGTTAATGCTGAAATGTGAGAGGTTAAATATAGACTATTCATTTGCCTTGCTGTGCAGGTGTTTTGTTCTAGCAAAGAGCCTAGACTGCCAGATTTGTTGCATGTGACCCTGCATGGGATGAGAAAGGGGAAGAATTTGAGATGGGAAAGAGGAGAGCTCACAAGCAGATGCCAGGGGATGACCTGTTCCTGAGAGGAATAAGAGAAGCTCTGAACGCTGGGCCTCTGCTCCAGCTCAATCCTGCCAGGAAATGACTTCCTGAGACCTGGGCAGAGAGCCTGACAAATCAGGGCTTCCTCGAGGGATATTGCAAAGAGAGTAATTACCATGGGAAATCTACTTATCAGACCAAAGAATACCTGGAGCACCATTCCCCTGACTCTAAATGATGAAAGACTTAAGCTAGAAAGAGTTTTCTTTTTTCTTTTTCCTCCTCTGAATGTTCCTCTAAGTTCTCGGAGCAAGAATTTCTAAGTATAGGACACCCGTCTCCTGGGTCTGAGCAAATAGTTCATCAAAACAGCATCACCAGACTCCCTTCCAGCTTCCAGCTTCAACATCTATCCCTGTCTCCCAAGACCCACGGAAGCTAGACTTGGCCAGATGTCAAAAGATGAGGCCAAAACAGCTGCAGATGAGAAAGAAGGTGGCGTGGACAGACCTCCAGGATGCACATCTGAAACAGGCTCTTCATTTTGTTTTCACTACAGGCTCCTGTTTCACCTTTTCAAAAAGCAATTGAAATTTCCCTTACATCTTGGAAATCCAAAAATACAGCAAAGATACATTTTATATAGGCTCTAGCTATTCATTAGGATGGAGCTTCAGAATATCTCTATACTCTACCAGATATATTCTAGCATGCTGCCTGGAAGTGAAAGTCTAGCCAGACAGTTTAACAGGAAAACCATTAGTCATCCCCTGGAAGTTAATTTTGCAGTTTATTTTGGAATGGAACAAAATAATGTATTGAAGATAGGAAAATCATGTCTACATGCTAGAATCTAAATTTCTTAACTCTCTGTAGTATGGGCCATTTGCAAATCCTCTAAAGTCATAAAACCAACTATGTGAAACCCACACTTCTAAGCTCAATATTAAATATTTAAAGTGACAACCATAAGAGTTGGAGAGTCAGGGTCCCCCTGGGCTTTTCAAACTCCTACCCTCACAAAAAAATCTAGAACTTCTTCTCAGCAACAAAAATAAGATGACGTATAATCATCTTTCATTGTTAATAAATAATCACTATCCATCATGGCATTGCATTTAATTTGTGTTAATTGTTGCTAACAAATGACTACAGATTAAACATTTGTGATCCATATAATAATAGAAATAATAAATGTCAACTTTTTAAGTGGCCAAGAGAGATTTTAATAGCTCAATAGGCAAATAGCATGAACTGATGCTTTGCAAAGGTGAGGGACACATGGCCTGTGACAGGATGTTTTATCTGGTTTTGGTCTAAATTTCATTTGGAAAACTGGAAGCTGCTGGTCAACCTGCAGGGATATGATCCCACGAGCTGAGATGCATGTTGACATTTGTATTTTTGTCAGCATGAAAGAATATTTTTTAAATCGGGGCCATTACCTCCGGTAACTAGCAGCCAGCTGGGTCGAATGGAAGTGAAACCATGGCCCTTGTCCCGCTGCAGATCTGGAAACCCAGCGTTGAGCGTCAGTGAACAGAGAGATGGAATCAGTTGAAATGAAATCGTCATAAGATTGTGCTCAGGAAACTAAATTTGACATAATTGGGCACAAGAGATTGTTCATCTATTTTATTCCACCAGAGGAGACAGCACAGTTTTCCCGTGAGTTCTTGGGGAGCTGGAGGAGGGAAACAGCTCTGCCAGGTGAAGTGGTTTCCTCATGAGAAGTATAAAAAGAAGAGGCAGAGATGGAGAGTTTGATTCTACAAAAATGGAAGATTTTGCTTGTAAACATATCAACACACTTGCCTTTCCCGCAAAGACGCAAACTTTGGGGAACTGCCCAAATATAAGACGGGGTTAAAATATTGGACAGCCAAAAATACGACTCGTGTTCAAAATATGCATCATGATATCATTCAGTTCAATGTGTTCTACTTCTTCTGCAGCGTTCTGCCTCATTCCCTTTGCCCCTACAAGTCTCCACCTTTTTGTGGATTAAGTTATTCCCAGGAAAAAAACAATAAGGTTTCCTCCCCCCTTGAACTTCCTGGTGGAAACCCGGGCCCTCCCAAGGAACCCAAGCGCCAACCCCCCCCCCTTCCGGAAGTTTTTTCCCCCTCCGCAAAAAAAGGGGCCCTGTCAGAAAAGAAGACGTACATCATCAATTTCTTTGCTCCTTTCTATCCTTAGGACAATTTTTGATGGACAATAAAACACTTTTGCTTTCCATGTCTCCTGTAAACAAAACAAAACAAAACAACAACCAGAAATCCTGGAGGTTGCTGCCCTGGGGCCACTTACTGAGGCACTGAGGTCTGAGTGCTGGGCCTTGCTGACCAGAGTAGGAGGAGCTGCGGCCTGGCCACACCCCCCGAGGTTGGGTGGTTGATGGCTGCCAGAGGAGGGGAGTACCATCAGGAAGAATAACGGGGACAGGGGTGCTCAACAGGGGATAATTCACAAAACATGAAGGCATGTTGTGTTGTCACATTGGCACAGGTAGGTAGGGCCCAAGGATGCCAATAAGCATCCTAGCTGAACAGGACAGACCCCTACAACAATCGCCTGATCCAACATGCCGGTAGTGCCCAAGTTGAGAAATCCCGCAATAAGCTTGGGTTGCAAACTTTGTACCAAGAAGGAGGATTATCTGCAGACAACTCAAGGGCAGTGACATCACCTACTTTTGTTTTCCATGACTGCCATGTTGTTTACATTCATCGCCATTCGTTCCCAGCACACGGTGTCTACATATTGTCTAGCAGCCTTCTGTTTCCTCATAGATCTGCCCCTTGGATAGATACAAGCATCAGAGGGAGCAGGGCTGCAGTTCACTCCCAACAATGACCCTTCAACAGGGTTTTCTCTGAACTAGCATCGCAGTCATGTGGGTTAGGTGACTGTAGCTGGTACTCAGGTGAAATCTCAGGCCAGTCTCTTCTGAATCAGGGAGACTGTTGACCATTAATCAGACCTTCACGTGAACAAAGATTCAAAAGAGGAAAACAATGTTCTGCATTATTGTGAAGGGGAAGCAAAGGATCCAGAGAGGAACACCAGCCTGACTCTGAGGGAAGGGCATGAAAGGGAGAGGAAGGGAGGGGGTGGTCAATCCCGGGTAAGAAGCAGGGAGGCAGGGGGCTGATGACACAGGAATGACTGTCAGAGACACATCCTGGAGGTCACAATTCAACCTTCTCAACTATTCCCAGAAATTTCAAAAACTTTTAAAGCAGCAAGTGCAGGACATGAAAAGCAGGAGCCATGCTAGAGGAGAGCCTGGGAATGGGCAAATAATTACAGGCTGTGACCTCACTGGTGCAGCCTCTCTCAGCGGCAGTGGAAAGCACAGCCTAGACTTCTCACCACTGCACACCAGAATCCTGCCCCAGGCCTTGCCTGGTCTGCCTGACTCTGCCATGGGCTGCAGGCTCCTCTGCTGTGTGACCCTCTGCCTCCTCCAAGCAGGTGAGTCCTGGGACCAGGTGACATGATACTGTTGGAGTCCCTAAACCTTTTCACCATGACAACAGCAGGCTACCTCCTGGGATTTGCCTGAATTCTGCTTCTCTCCTTTTCAGGTCCCTTGGACACAGCTGTTTTCCAGACTCCAAAATACCTGGTCACACAGATGGGAAAGAACGAGTCCCTTAAATGTGAACAAAATCTGGGTCATGATACTATGTATTGATATAAGCAGGACTCCAAGAAATTGCTGAAGATAATGTTTATCTACAGTAATAAGGAGCCCATTTTAAATGAAACAGTTCCAAATCGCTTCTCACCTGAATCTCTAGACAAAGCTCATTTAAATCTTCACATCAAGTCTGTGGAGCTTGGTGACTCTGCTGTGTATTTCTGTGCCAGCAGCCAAGGCACAGCCCTGCAGATGCATCACGTGCTTGTGCACAAACCTCCCGGCTCAGCCAGGAAGCTGTGGGCCAGTGTGTGCACCTGCACCCAAGGCTCCCGTCTCCACTCCCTGATGGCCTCTGATGGAGTTTCAGTCTGTAGTACAGCCGGCTAGTGCACGCAGTGGAGAAATCCTCCATTGTATGCACACAGAGTCTCACAGAATTGTTTCTCGGCTAGGGCAGGGCTTCACAACAAAGCCACTGAAGTATTAGGGCCCCACAAACAAAAACGGAGCCTGTTTCAAGCACTAAAGATCTTAACTGATGGAGGAAACCTTTTCTTGTCTTTCTGTGCTGCACACATTTGTTCATATTTTATATAACATTATGAAAAAAATATGATTGCTAAAAATGGTTGATGAGCACAAGCATAAAGGAGGGGGAAGGAAATATTTCTAAGATCAAGAGACAATTCTGATGATCAGTAAGTACTTTATTTAACAGAAAAATATTTGGAGAGGCATGAAATTCCATGACAATAGGTAAACTGGAAAGTGTTGAGGAGAAGCCGGTGGAGGCAGACTTGTGCCTTGTAGACTCCTTCTCTTCAAGAAGTGTGACAAGCAAGTGTCTCTCCAATTCTGATGAAGGTCATCTTGAACTCTTCGAAAGAGTAAGCGACAGCTGGATGACTGGGGATATTGGGAGACATGGAAAGGACTTCGGACACAAATCTCTAGGCAGTGGTGAGCCATTGGTCCCACTCCAAGTGAAACAACATGATGAAACTGATATTTTGGTACAGGAACACTGGTAGTAGTATGGATCAGAAAGGAGATAGATTTTTGGGTAGCATGAAGAATTAGGAGACTTCTAAATATCCTACATGAAAGGTTAGAAAGGGTTTATGAGAAACAGTGTGGATGACATAGGCTTGAGGCTCTGGATTATGTTATCTCTTGGAAATAGTATTGGGTTTTATCTGGGAAGGTTGAATGTAGGACTAGCTAGGGTCTATTTCAGCTTTGCCCTCCCTCTTAGGGAGCCCCAGCATGTGGTCAGCATTGCTAGTGCATGCCTTTCCAGGGTCTTAGTGGGAATCACGGTGTTCCCACCACGACTCTCCACTCTCACTGGGTCTGAATGCCTTCTGGGCCTGAGTATCTTCTGACATCCCTGCCCATGTCTTCAGCCTTCCAGAGTTTGTTCCCTGCTGGGCCTTCAGGAGTGCCACCCTCTGCATACATCACTTAGGATCTGGCCCAGAAAGAAAAATAAAAAAAAGAAAAGATTTTCTTACACAGGTTCTTGGGGCTCCTTGTTAGTACTCTGTGTCCTAATTCCCAGCTGTCTTGGAGTCAGTTAAGTCCTCTTGTCTTCAATCACATATACTGCTTCTATTTTATTTAAATATGTTTACTTGACTTTTTTCATATTTACCATTCCACTCTTCACTCTTCTTGCAATTCACACAATCCTGAGATCATTTTCCTTCTTAGATCCATTCCTAATTCAGATGATTTGAGCTCTCTGGTCACCACCCCTTGTTGTGGGAAATGCTTATGTTAGCTATTGTCCTCAGGAAAGTTAAACCTTTTACTTCCAGCATTATTTAAGGTTTCTGTTTAAACTCTATTGCTTTTTTTTTCCATTGTCCTTGCAATTGGGTTTACTTATTGGGAACTAAACAATGCAATAAATTTTTATTTGTTCAAATTTGTTCTATTTCTTTGTAGAAGGACCAAAGTATTTTCTTGCTGAAGTAGATACCAATTGAAATAATTTTAATAGGAATGATATTAGAGTTTGAAACAAGATTAATTTTAGGTTTTTATCTAGTATAGCAGGTTAGAGGTCCATCCTATATGTAACCCGTTGAGGGGAAGAATATTCAACCCCACTTTCTTAAAATCCAATCTACATTCCTTTACCTTTTTTTTTTGTTTTTTTTTTGCTTTATGGGCCACAATGAAAATCTGATAATATGTATACATTAGAGGAATGCTAAAATTTTCTTCCTGACTGAACATATCCCCAGGTTAAAGCAAACCTAAATTATAAATCCTTGACTTAAATCATGGATAAGTATCCTCCCTAGGCCCAGTGTAGATTTACATATAACATAGATTTACGACCCTAATCTCACTCCTACAATTACAATGATCATCACAAAATGGTAATACTGCTGTAATACAACAATAAATAGATGGTAAAAATCCCTTAGAAAGTATGAGTCATCTCATTTTTGTGTTTATTTGTGTTCATTTGTATCTTCACATGTTCTAGAATGAAAAGTCAATATCGGCATAACTTTGCATTTTAAGAAAATTGATGATATTTCAATAAATGGTCACAAAGCATAAATAGCGTATGCAGCAAAATAGAAATGACCCATAGGAATTCATCCAGCTGGTTTCAAGTTGGAAAACTCTCCATAGAACTGATGACCTAATGTGGTTTCTAACATTTTAGAAATGGAAGGGCTTTGGAGATCATCTCCTTTCAGTTTCCCTGATTTAATATATGAGTAAATGTGGCATCACGTATATGAAGTGATGGAAAACTGACATACTGATTACATTTCCTAAAGTTCATGTAAGATACATTTTTATTATCTAGCTGGTCAGGGTCTTGCTCTGTCTGGAGTGCAGTGACACAATCATGGCTCACTACAGCCTTGACTTCCCTGCTCAAGCAATCCTCCCACCTCAGCCTCCTGAGTGGCTGGGACTACAGACATGCACCATTACATCTGGCTAATTTTTGGTAATTTTTGTAGAGATAAGGTGTTGCGATGGTGCCCAGACTCAGACATAGACAATTTCTGTTGAGTAAAAATTTAGAATGTCCTAGGTGTGTGGATACCTGGTGTTCCGACTGTTGACTCTCTGTATTGTTGCCAACATCTCTTTCCTTTTCATTCTGCCCTGGCCTTTCAAACCCATCTCTGCTGCCCAGGGATGTGGGATATGGATCCAGTCTGGATCCTGACACTGGGTTGGTGAGTGGCCAAGTGCTGCTTTGGCCACACAGAGGAGCTGTGCTCCTGTGAAATCTCTGAGGCAGGGACCTGGGGAAGGGATAGAGAGTAAGAGGAGAGATGGGCCAGGAGGGATATTGCCCACGGGGAGCCATCCATACCTCAAATGAGAGCATGGCTGTACTCAGGTTAAGCACACTAACATCAGCTTCAAGCTGATTTCCCTTTCCTTTGCACCACACACCTTGTGCTGTTCTTTTTCAGCATCCTGTGTATGTTTGCTCTAAGCCCAGCCAAGCCTCATGCCCTCCACTACAGGGACAGAGGGTGGCTCATCCCTTTCGTGCTCCCTCAGCTCCCTCCCCAGTGCCTGGTTGCTGGTTGGCATCACAGTCACACCCTTGAATGATGGGCGCTGGTCCACACTGCATCTGTGGTCATGTAGTCATCCTGCCTCCACAGAGCCGGGCAAAAAGGGCTCTACCGTGCTTAGACATTGAGGGAAGGGACGTTTTGAATGCTTCTGTCTTGTGTGATCCCACAGGACCGAAGGAGATTCCTTGAATGGGGGTGGTCTGTTGCTGAGAGGAATCCTGAAAGACAGGGAGACAGAGATAGAGGGAGGATCCACTTAATGAGGAAGCAGCTGAGAGCAAAGGAGCCCCTGCCAGAGGAATATCCTTGGGGGGTAAAAAACTGGCTCTGCCCTTTCTGCCCAGCTCATTCATCCCAGCCCAGACTATTCAAATCTACCTTCTATCAGAACTTAGAAAGGATGTAAAACGGCTAGGAAGAAACATCCCCTGGGTCTGGGGAAACTGTCAAGAGCAGTGACATCACAGGGAAAACCACCAATCAGGGCCAAGGAGACCAGAGCCCAGCCTATCACCCAGAGGACCCCAGTCAGAGGCCTCATCTCAAACCCGAGGCTAGCATGGGCTGCAGGCTGCTCTGCTGTGCGGTTCTGTGTCTCCTAGGAGCAGGTGAGCTAGGTTCAAACTGTCTGTCCTTGAACTTCAAGCTTTTTCCTTGTGGCTGCAGCAACAACCCTCCTCCTGGGCTCTGCCTGAATTTTGTCCCTTTCCTCCTACAGTCCCCACAGACACTGGAGTTACCCAGACACCAAAACACCTGGTCATGGGAATGACAAATAAGAAGTCTTTGAAATGTGAACAACATCTGGGGCACAATGCTATGTACTGGTACAAGCAGAAAGCTAAGAAGCCACCGGAGCTAATGTTTGTCTACCAGTATGAGAAACTCTCTATTAATGAAAGTGTGCCCAGTCGCTTCTCACCTGAATGCTCCAAGAGCTCTCTCTTATACCTTCACCTACAAGCCCTGCAGCCAGAAGACTCGGCCCTGTATCTCTGCGCCAGCAGCCAAGACACAGCCTTGCAGAGTCGCCGCGTTCCTGTGCAGAAACCTTCGGGGCCTGCCAGGAAGCTGTGGGGGCCACGGAGGGCTCGGGTGAGCATTTCCTGCAAGAGCCCCGGCAGAAGCTTCAGAACATCACAGCACCTGCTAATTCATCCATGTGGCAACTTTACATCCTGTACACATATTTAGAGTGTGGGTTTTCTTTTGCCTGAGTGTGACTGCCCTGTCAACTGCTTTGAAAAAAAGATAAACACATTCAGATCTACTTTTAAAAAATGCTTTTTTAAAATCATGAAATAGGCTAGGCATGGAGGCTCAGGCCTGGCCTATAATCCCAGTACTTTGGGAGGCCGAGACGGGCAGATCATGAGGTCAAGAGTTTGAGACCAGCCTGGCCAATATGGTGAAACCCTGTCTCTACTAAAAATACAAAAATTAGCTGGGCATGGTGGCATATGCCTGTAGTCCCAGCTACTTAGGAGGCGGGAGAATCGCTTGAACTTGGGAGGTGGAGGTTGCTGTGAGCCGAGACTGCACCACTGTACTCCAGCCTGGGCGACAGAGTGTGATACCATCTAAAAATAATAATAATAATAATAATTCTGAAATAAAGCAAGCATGCTGTAAGGATTGTTTAGCTTAAAATTTTAGAAGAACCCTCTAAATAATCACCTGTGTCACCACAGAGTTACACCTTGCACTGGTTCAGACACCATCCTGTGAGGAGCTATGTTCTCCTGACACTTCATGTCCAGTGGTTTTCATGACTCTTCTTTGGGACCAAGGGTTCCCTTCCATCATAGGTTGTTGTCATGCAGAGTCAAGCAGCACTGAGCATTGCGAAATCAGAGAACGAACTTCCAGGCAAGGGTCCCAGTCCAGAAGTCAGCTAGAGAGGACAGTAGCAGACTTACTCTTTGGGAAACGTGTTTGAGAAATATGTATCAATTTTCACCACTTCTATTGTTATATATTCCGGTTTGTCTGTTCTCTAATTTCTCGTTTTTACACTGAAAGCTAGACTGTGAATTCTAGCCCTGATCAAAGCTCCGAATGTGCACAGACACCTTCTCTGAACCCTGCAGGCAGCAAACATGCCGCTGTCTGCTCCCCTTGCTCTAGAGCCCGTGGATCACGGTCTAGAAGCTTCCGGACTCATCCACTCTCCTTCCCTTGGCTGGAAGTCTCCTTGTTGGTTTCAGGTCTCAACTCCTCCCTGGATTTCCTCTCCAGACTGACATTTGAAGGATTATTTTCCCCCTACGGTCTCTTTATTCCCAGTGTGTTAAATCATCAGGCTCAGAGCCTGATGCCTCCAGAGCTCTACATTAGCCTTTAAAGAGGAGAGTGGGTCCTGGCTGTTCTGTTTACATCTTTTTTCATTCACTAATTCATTCATTCATTTATGATAGAGACAAAAGGCTCCCTATCCCAAGATATACGGTCATTTGTGCTGTATCAAAAGAGAAGATATTCTTGTCACAGTTTTATGAAATGAGGTAGCTTCGCAACTTGGGGGAAAGCAACCTTTTAAGTTAGTTGTCAAAATTAGCCTTTTGCCTAAGTTAAGTTAGGATCCTAAATTGGGCTCCTACCCTCCCACAAAAACTGGGCGACAGGGACTCTATCTTCCATGATGATTACATCTCAAAATATGGTTCCCAGGAAAGCCTGGGAAAGGAAGGTCTTGGGAAAGGCATTCCTGGGTCATAAAACTGGCAAGAAATTTATATAGATTTTAACAGGATTTACACACATTTCAAAGAGACAAAGGAAGAATTTTGAATTTCAAGGCTTTGAAACTAAATGCTCTTAGAAAAGGGGTGAGGAGGAGTTTCTTGCATTACTTTTCACAGGAAAAATTAAGCCTCTTTTATTTATTTTTCATTTTCCCTTACAGTAGCAGTAGATGAGTTGATACTTTAAAGCCTCCGGACCCAGCCACCCTGGTGCGGTGGGGAGGTCATGGGGAAAATGGGAAGGGAGTTTAGCTGTGGGGTTTCCCTGACAGATCTGCCCTGATTCAGGAGCACAGTCCTTAAAGAACCACAAAAGCCTGAGCACACAGGCAGAATCTGGCTCTCAAGCTTAGCAATGCAGACACCTGAGTACTGGGGACTTTATTTGCAGCAAAAGACCCTTTCCCTCCCCAGTCCCTGCCCCTGGCAGCAGCAGGCAAGGCCAGTGTTTCAGGCAGGTGGGAAGAAAGGCAGGACCCTTGGGAAACCCTGGCCAGCAGCACCCATGAGGCAACCCTTACAGAGCTCAACCGAAGGGGCAACGTATTTTGTGAACAGTAAACAACTCTGGGCTCCTTAGGAATATAAGGAAATCAAGCCCTGGGTGAGGCTGGACTTCCAGGGATGCTGGTATGTTCAGGCCTAGAATTAGTACCATTCGGATACCCGTGAATACGTGGCCTTCGTTTGTAACAACTGTGTAGTGAGCTCTGTGAACGTGTAATCACATTTACATAAGTCATTTTAGAAAAGTGCTAGTTGAAAGAATAAATGCAGAAATATTAATTATTGTTAACTCTGGAGAATGGGATATATTTTTGTTACTCTCAGTGAACTATGTAGTATTAAGTGTTCAGTTACATGCATTTTATCAAATGCAGTCACTCCGGTAACACCACCACGACCAAAATGTGGAGTATTTTATCACTTCTTAAGAGGAAGTGTTCCCCTTTCTTTCAATGTCCCCTGAAACCTAGGGCAAATTTTATTAAAATGTCCCTAAGTAGTTAGTATTTTTGATGCTATATATTTTTTAAATTTCAACCTTTATTTTAGATACAGGGGGTACATATGCAGGTTTGTTACTTGGGTATATTGCACCCAGGTAGTGAACATAGCACCCAATAGGTAGTTTTTCAACCCATGCCCCCTTCTCCACTCCTCCCTCTAGTAATCCACAGTGTCTCTTCTTTGCATGTTTATGTCCACGTGTGCTCAATGTTTAGCTCCAACTTGTAAGTGAGAATATGCATGTATTTGGTTTTCTGTTCCCAATATACAGAAGCTATAATGATTTTAGACAAATCAACAAGCAGAAAACAAGTAACCCCATTTAAAGATGGGGAAAGGACATGAACACTTTTCAAATGATAATATTTTTAATGGCACTCCTTAATTCCAAATTCTTCTTGCTTTCACATTTACATAGAAATACAGTTTAATTTGGTATATTTAAAATGTATCCTAAAATTTTGCTAGACTCATTTATTATTTCTGGTAGGATTTTGTACACTGTTTAGGGTTTTCCACATAGGTGCTTGGGTCCTCTGTGAATAAGGACTGTTTAACATCATCCCCTACCCTCTGTGCTTTGCTAGGAGCTCCATGACCATGTTGGAAAGAAGGGATGAGGATGGGCATCCTGTTCTTCTTCCTAATCTTTGGGGAAAAAATTCAGTCATTTTTTCAGTTTTTGACCATTAAGTATGATATTAGCTATAGATGTTCCATGAATGCCTTTTATAAGGTAGAGGACTTTTTTTGTTGTTGTTGTTCCTAGTTTGCTAAGAGTTTTTAATCAGAACATTGAATTTTTGGGAAATAATTTTTCTATATCTATTAAGATGATTATAAAAAATTGTTTCTTTCCAAGTTCTATTTTAGTTTTAAGGGCTACATGTGCAGGTTTGTTACATGGGTAAATTGCATGTCGTGGGTATTTGGTATCCAGATAATTTTGTCACCCAAGTAATCTGTTTAATACCCAATTGGTAGTTTGTTAATCCCTACCTTCCTCTCACCCCCCACCTTTCTGTAAGCCCCGGTGTCTACTGCTCCTTTGTTTGTGTCTATGTGTGCTCAATGTTTAGCTCCCACTTATAAGTGAGAACATGTGTGGTATCTGGATTTCTGTTCCTGGGTTAATTCACTTAGGATAATGTCCTCCAGCTCTCTCTATGTTGCTGAAACGAATGTGTTCTTGTTCTTTTTATGGATGCATAGTATTTCATGGTGTATATGTAGCACATTTTCTTTATCCAGTCCACATTGATGGGCATTGAGGTTGATTCTATGTCTTTGCTATTGTGAATAGTGCTACATTGAACATCGTGTGCATGTTATCTTTATGGTAGAGTGCTGTATTTCTTTCGGTATATTAATTGGATTGCTGGGCCGAATGGTAGGGTTTTTTGTTGTTGTTGTTGTTGTTGTTGTTGTTTGAAAAATCTCCAGACTACTTTCTACAGCGGTTGAACTAATTTACGTTCCCACCAACAATGTATAAGCTTTCCATTTTCTCTGCAATCTTGCCAGCATCTGTTATATTTTGACTTTTTAATAACAGTTATTCTAACTGGTGTAAGATGGTATCTCATGGTGGTTTTCATTGAACATTTTTTTCATAGGCTTGTAGGCTTCATGCATTTCTTCTTTTGAAAAGTGTCTATTCATGTCCTTTGCTCATTTTTCTTTTTTGAGATGCAGTCTTGCTCTGTTGCCCAGGCCGGAGATCGGCTCACTGCAAGCTCTGCCTCCTGGATTTACTGCCATTCTCCTGCCTCAGCCTCCCGAGTAGCTGGGACTACAGGCGCCCACCACCACGCCTGGCTAGTGTTTTTTTTTTTTTTTGTATTTTTTAATAGAGACGGGATTTCACCATGTTAGCCAGGATGGTCGTGATCTCCTGACCTCGTGATCCGCCCGTCTCAGCCTCCTAAAGTGCTGGGATTACAGGCTTGAACCACCGCGCCCGGCTGAATGTCTTCTATTCTTTCTCTTGTGTGATTGATCTTGCTATGTCTGCCACTGCTGTGTCGATTGGGAATGGTGAGAATGAGCATCTTTGTCTTGTTCACAGGAATGCTTCCAGTTTTTGCTGCTTCAGTGTGTTATTAGTTGTGCTATGTCATAGATAGTTCTTAATATTTTGAAATATGTACTTTCAATGCCTAGTTTGTTGAAGGGGTTTTAACCTGAAGGAATGTTTAATTTTATCAAAAGCCTTTTCTGTATTTATCGAGATGATCATCTGGGTTTGTTTTTAGTTCTGTTTATGTGGTGAATCACATTTGTTGATTTGTGTATGTTGAACCAATGTTGCATCCCAGGAATGAAGCCTACTTGATTGTGGTAGATAAACTTTTTGATGTGCTCCTGGATACAGTTTGCCAATATTTTGTTAAAAATTTTCGCATCGAATTAAATAATTTTTAAGTATGGTGACTTACATTAATTGCTTTTTAAATATAGAACCAATTATGCATTCCTGGGGCAAATCTCACTTACTGATTAGATATTAATCTTTTTATACATTGTGAGTTAAATTTACTTTATTTTTGTTAAGGATTTTTGCTTCTATGTTAATATTAGTACTATTTATTCCTCACAATTTGTAAATTGATAAACTTGGTCAATTTCATCAATAAAGTAAGCTGGGTCTGGAGTTTTGTTTCTGGAAAAGCTTTTAATTATTATGAGTTCAATTTTTAAAACTTCATCTTTGTGTATTTTTTAATATCCCTATGGACATTCAAGTTATCTGCTGCTTTTTGAGTGAGTAATTGAGTTTCTTGGGGAATTTGTTTATTTTGTCTGCTGTTGAATTTATTGGCATAATACTAATCTTTCATTGGAGTTCTAATTTGCATTTCTCTAAGGATTAATGATGTTGAGTACATTTTATTGTTTTTATTACCATTTGCAGATATGTCTTTTTCATATACCTATTAATGCTTTTGCCTAGTTTTAAAAGTTAAATTATATACCTTTTATATTGATTTATAGGAATCCTTTATATAATCTGGATACAGTATTCTAGTCCAATACATGTATTGTGAAACTTTTTCCTCGGTCTGAAAATTTTCCTTTCCACTTTCTTGATGGTACCTGAACACAATCCCTATGAAATGAGAGTACCCTTCTTTCTCCTTTTGTTTTCTCTCTACCTTCACCCTTATCAGTATTAGGCAGGTAATTAATTCAGTCAGATTGAGATATGCAAAGGGTTCTAGCTAGTCCTCGAAACACTGGCTTGGATATACCTCTGATCTCCAATCACACGAGACCATTTTGCCAGCCCAGAAGCTACCCCTGCTATGTATTCTACCATGAGTAGACCTTAAATGCACACCTCCCTCTCTCTCCGTAATACATATGGCAGAATGGCGATGGATCCTTCTTTTGGCAGACTTTCCACAATGCATGGAGCTATGCCTATCCAAGCACATCTCTGCATGGACTAAGGACGGGGTGAATAATTGAGTCAGTGTTCCTGCTTCTTGCTTGTGAGTTTTCCCCAGTAAATCTTGTTTTATGTGTATATTGCACAGGGCTAGTGCTGTCTACATGTCCCTTTATATGATTGTGTTCTCACAGAATTCTGAGGCTGGAAGGAACAAACAAGAGTTCTCATAAAGAGAAATTTAATCACCTCTAGAAAGAAGTACATGCTAATGGCTTTGGAGTTTCTGTAAAGAAAGGGTTTCCTCCTGCCTTAGAGGGTGGGAAAAGTGGGCAATGTCTTCACCAAGTCAGCAACACTAGATTTCAGCCAGAGGCAGAAGTGGGGTTCTATGATAATGCCCAATTGTGGTTATAGAGGCGCTACATGAGCAAGGCCATGGAGGTGAAAATGGAGGCATTTGGGCCGAAATGTTATAAATTGAGGTAAAACGGAAAACTCAGTACGCATTCCAATGGAAGATGCAGCTTCCTAATATTGTGCTTTCATTTAGATTCTCTCATCTGTAATTACTCCATACACTGTCTCAAATCATTAACACAACTGTGTGCCAGGTAATCATTTAGCCCCTTTGCTTGGTACAAGGTAGCCAAGATCTCTACTTAGCTCCCTATTTTTCTCTGGGAAGCTTTTCCTGAGACCTACAGTCACCATGCTTCTCAGACTTCCCTCTTTCTTATTGTCCTTTCCATTTATATTTTACCTTTAATTGTAGTTTATTTGATTAACATCTGACACTTTTGTGTTTCTCTTTTACTTATTTGTCCTCACTTAATTGTAACTGGCCAGCTGCTGTTAATCAAGTTATATTTTCTGGGGTTACAATGGTTATTTTTTCCTCTAAAGTTTCTATCTCTGTAAGAATGGAGGTAGCAGAGCCTTGTCTTTTTTAAAAACAGGGTCTCTCTCTGTCACCCAAGCTGGAATACAGTGGTGCAATCGTGGCTCACTGCAGCCTCGACCTCTGAGATTCAAGCAATCCTCCCACCTCAGCCTCCCAAGTAGCTATGACTACAGGCACACACCACCACCACTCGCTAACTTTTTTGTTTACATTTTTGGTAGAGATGAGGTCTTGCTACATTGCCAGGTTTCTCTCAAACTCTTGAGCTCTGGTGATCCTCCCACGTTTACCTCCCAAAGTGCTGAGAATACAGGAATGAGCCACCATGCTTGGCTTCTGCTATTGATTTCTAAAATTTAAATGTAGATCAGATTGTCTCCACGCAAGGAGGAAGTCAGACAGGGCAGAGCTTAGCCAATGTCCACGGTTTGTTTTCTCACTGCAGTCTTGGGCTCACCACTCATCTCTTCATACTCTGGCCCCAAATAGCTTCAATCTTCCCAGAAGATTCTCGTGGTTTTCAGTTTGTTTCCGGTTTCTTAGTTATAGCTTGTCTGATCAGGTTTCCCTGGGGAAGGAGCCAGGAGATGCTACAAATCTGCAATTTTATGGGGAGTCAGATCGAGTGCTCTGGTATTTCACACACTTTTATAATATTATCTAAGCCTTCTCTTCTCTGAATATAATGGCTATTCATCATGGGATATGAGGCATCTCAGAAGAAATCTAGATATCCGTTTTGTTTCTTTTTCTAGTAAAGAATTGACCAATATTCTAGCAATTTTATTTAGTTGAATCAGAAAAAATTTAGACATTCCTTTTAAAGCAAAAAATACATAGTTTTTCTTAACATGACTTCTACTGATAGTTTATATTTTTATGATTTTGTGTAGTAGCTTTACCTTCCCTAGGATCAAAAACCATATCAGACAATCAGCTTCTGTTATGAAAGGTTTTGGAGAGTTAGGTATGCAGAAAATCCATAAAAAGTATTAAGTTGTGGAACACTGCCATCTGAACTTGAGAGAATTTTAACTGGTTTATATCCATGAATACTCCCACAGTAGGGTACTTTCGTGATGGCATCCTGGAAGAGGCACTGGTTATTGATCACATCTCACTGGCACATTGGCTAGTGACTGCTAATGTCAGATGCAGCTGGATTGGAACCTCTTCTCATTGATTTCTCATGGGGTCGTTTGCCTTTGGACTTAAATATCAAGAAATACTTCATAATGACAATATCTAGACTTGCTCTATATATGTAACTATTATTAAAATTCGATGACGGAAATGTCAAATGTCGATATTTAAAGAAATTTGGATTGGAAATAAACTAAATCAGAAGTAGCAAGTGAAGGATAGTGGTTCTATAATGGAATCTTTCTCAGATTCTGTTTTCCCAAGTCTCATGTTTCTTTTTTAAATCCAGTCTGGCCTCTCCTCCTTAGCTTACTAAGTATAAGAACCACAAATAGAAACTTAGAAATTTAATCATTTTCTGCACATATCTTTACTCATATATGGGAAAATAGGCAAGAGGATATTGTCAGTGAAATCAGCAAAAAGAGGATTTCTAAAAGAGAGAGTATGAGTGGAAAAGAAACAAATTCCCCAGCAGCATGGCAACAGTGGGTATTGTTTTCCTTTTGTTTGGATAAGCTGATTAGTTGGCACGTAGCACACAGTGGTCTGAAAGGTCTGCTTCGAGGAAGTTGGCTGGAGTCATCACAGAAAAAAGAACTTTAATAATCAATCACCCACAAATCCCTGAGAGTCTGCCTGCAGCGAGGGGGACGGATGACTCGGTGTGATTTCTGGCACAGTTCTTCCCGTAGCACGCCTACATGAGCTAGGCCAGGTTTGCCTCATCTCCTTCATCAGAATTTTCTCGAAGGTAAAATGTCTTCTCTATCACGCTTTTTACAATGCAGAAAGTGATCTTGAGGGACATAAATTTTAAAATGTGGGGGCTTCTTTTAGTTCCCCTAGAGAAACAGTATAGTAGTCAAGATGGTGAAATCGTTCCTAATTTAAACATGTCCCATGCACCGTGTTAGAAAGGCTGTATCCATCAGCTCAGACAGCCACAGCAAATAGCACAGACTGCACGGGTTGAACACAAATCTTTTTTTTTTTCTCACATCTCCAGAGTATGAAAAGGGGATGCCAGCATGAGGGGCTCTGGTGAGGGCCCTCCTCCTGGCTTGCAGAGCACCCTCTTCCAGTTGAATCCTCACATGGTGGAGAGAGAACAAGCCAGGCATCGAGTGCCCCATCCCAGAGGACATTAATCATACTGGATCAGAGCTCCATTTTTATAAGCTCATGTAAACATAGTTTTCTCTATAAAGACCCTATCGTCAAATATTGTCTCCCTGGGGGTTGTATTTTGGAGGGACATAAATATTCAGTTGGTTAACAATGGCAAAATCTTGGTTACTGCGCAGTGGGCCACACGGGGGTGCTGTGGAACCACTGAGCTCCAAATGTCTCTGGGGTGTGCACAGAGCCAGGAGTCTGGGACACGGACGGTTAAGGAGCAGCCTTGCTTGATGTTTGTGCTCACTAAAAATGTGATGGCAGATACATAAAATTGCAGGTGTGCCTCTCTTCAGGGAGCCATGCACTTCAGCTCTGCGTGGGTTAGGAAGTCTCCGTGAGCTTGCAAGGGAGAATGAAAATGGGCTGTCCCATGCTGGGATGGGACAACCTGCATGTCCCGGGCAGGGACAGACAGAGGAAAAACTGCCTGGAGGGAAAAGCAAAGGAACTTGGCGGGGGACATGCAGCCTAACCTCATACCAGCTCAGAGCAGCCCAGTCCGACCCCATATGGTATGTGAGAGTATTTACAGCACAAAGCAGAGATCTTGCATCGGGTAAGCCAGGGGAAGGAAGGCAGGGTGCAGGGGAACCTGCAGAGATGACATCAGAGCAGTGACATCACAGCCTAACATCCGATCAGAGATGCGGTGCTCAAAACCCCAGCTCTTAGAGGACCAGTATCCCTCGCAGGGTGACACCTGACCAGCTCTGTCCCACCTGGCCATGGGCTCCAGGTACCTCTGATGGGAAGTCCTTTGTCTCCTGGGACCCGGTGAGTCCTTGGCACAGGTGGGATGTCTCTGAAGCAAGCCTCATCCAAGGCACCCTCAGGCTCCCTCCAGTGTTCTTGCCCCAGCCTTTGTCTCCCTCCCTCACAGGCCCAGTGGATTCTGCTGTGCAGAACAGAGAGCAGTGGACCTCAGGAGGCCTGCAAGGGGAGGACATAGGACAGCGACATCACAGGATGCCCCTCCCACCAGGAAAAGCGAGGCTGAGAACTCAGCTCTTCCCCAGGAGGACCAAGCCCGGAGCACAGACACAGTGCTGCCTGCCCCTTGGTGCCACGGGCTCCATGCTGCTCTGCTGGGCACTGCTTTGTCTCCTGGGAGCAGGTGAGTCCCTGCAGACAGAACAGCACCCCATTCTGAGCCTGCCCCACCCCTGTGTCCTCCACTTTACCTTGGGGAGGTGCCACCACACTGTCTCCTGTGCTCATCCTCCATCTGTTTTTCCCACAGGCCCAGTAGAGGCTGGAGTCACTCAAACTCCAAGATCTCTGATCAAAATGAGAGGACAGCAAGTGACATTGAGCTGCTCCCCTATCTCTGGGCATAGGAGTGTGTCCTGGTACCAACAGACCCCAGGACAGGGCCTTCAGTTCCTCTTCGAATACTTCAGTGAGACACAGAGAGAAAAAGGAAAGTTCCCTAGTCGATTCTCAGGGCGACAGTTCTCTAACTCTCGCTCTGAGATGAATGTGAGCACCTTGGAGCTGGAGGACTCGGCCCTTTATCTCTGTGCCAGCAGCTTGGCACAGCCCTACAAAGCCAACCACATTCTGTGCACAAACCTCCCGGGCCCAGTGTGGAGCAACCTCAGCCCTGACATATCTGTGAGAACGTGGGGACTGCAGGGAGAAAGAAAGGCAATTTAGAATGTTAGGACCCACAGCCTGGGGCTTTCTGCAATTCGGGGTTGGAGGAAACAAGGGCTGAAGAAAACAAGGCCAAGAGAGCCTACTCAGAGGACGGGTGCTGCTTCCGCAGGTTGACTGCAATATTACCTTCTTTGCAGACACTGTAAGCTACAGGGATAGAGGAAATGTTTGCAATTTAACAGCTGGCACGCTCTTTTTCAAGACAAGGGATTTAATTTTGTGGTCAAGATTGTTGATAACAGCGTAGTGTAGAAGGGAGAATAACAGGGTTTTCTTTATACAACTTGGGGAGAAGAAATTGAGATTTTGGGAAAGTCAAGGATAGAGAAAACGAAAGATGATTGAAAATAGAGATAGAGCAGAAGGTGATGAAAAGTGGTGTTCTGTGCACCATGAACTCTCTTTTTCCCCCTCCCAAAGTTTTCAATACCTAGAAAAATTAAGGAAACGTCTTATAGCAACTAAAATCACCTGGTAGCCGGTCCCAGTCGGAGACATCACCAAAGAGCCGCTTGGCCACTGGGAGAGCCCTAGAGTTGCTTCTGCTGTCTTCCTTCTTCTGGCCCTAATCTTGACTCCTCAGGCCACAGTCAAGTACTTCCCCCAAAACACAGAGGAAGGTAAAGTCACCCTTGTTCCTAAAGGGGCAAATACTTTCCAGTTTCCCCCCAAATAAATTCTGTGACCCTGGGATTCCTTTCTGACACTCACCTCCCAGATCCAATTACCTTCTATGACCAAATGCTCTTTGAACATTTTCTAAAACTCAGCAGTCTTTACATCCTCTGCGTTTGTCCTCACTATTTCCATGGCCTGGGAGGACCTTTGTTCTCCTAAGACAGGGCCACATACCGATCATCTGTCAAGGACAGGCCCACACCTGCCTTCCTCTTCACTTCTTACTGTGACATTCCCTGGGACTGTACTGTATCACTCTCTTCCCTTTATTTTCATAGGAAAAGCCAAGCATATAATTGATACTCTTTGACGTTTGTAAAACTAATAAGTTATTGCCCTCTTATACAGAATCCTGGAGTGATTAAGGGACTCCACTTGAAATATCATGGAGAATTATTATGAATAGTCTTAGTATTTCATATAACTTCTGTAATATTCCTAGAAATTGTGTCTTCACAGTCAGGATTGATGACCAGTGCTGTTAAGTATCCAAAGGGTATCTAATGCTGGAATTTTCAAATGTTCTTTTGGAGTGAAGAGAATTATGTTATTTGTGCTGATTGAAGATTTGCTAGAGAAAGAAAATTATGGTACAGTAATATTCATAAAGACTCATAATCCTGCAAAGAACTTCCTCACCGTAACCACACTTTTCACAATCACATTTTTAGAGATTTGGTGAGGGTGGAATATAGTTAAAGGTGCTTGTTAATTACCCTTGATAAAATCAACCTAAATCAACCTAAAACATTGAAAAAGAAAAAACTAGTTTTGCTCAGTAATGGAATCTTATCATTCTTGACAATGAAAAGATATTATGTGTTTGTGAGTGTGTGTGTGTGTGAGTGTGAATGTGTGTGTGTGTTTTCTTGTGGCTATTCACTCACATAGAAATAGTTTCTCCCCTGGTGGCATTTTATGAGGTGCTGGGTCACTGGCAGAGCTCCTAAGCACTTCTAGGTAAGGATAGGAAATAGCAGACCTAACTGAATCTGCCTAAGTTATAGCTGATAAGATAGTTTATTTCAAGATTTTATAAATTCAGAAACAAATTTGTAAAATCAAAAAATCCTCTTTATAAAATGTGCTAACTAAAATTTGTGAATAAACTAAATACAACGTGTGAAAAGATGTGGGTCTGACTAATCAAAGGGAGCTCTGCAATGTAGTATTTTCAGCCCAGATTGGCTTGATATTGTCACACTGTTTCATCCTGTGACCTGTATAATTCTGGCTCCTCTCTTCCATCTTAGGATGCTCATTGCTATAATGTAACAGTAATTTATTGTGCAATCAAGATGTGTCCTTTTGTCTCCACTGGCCAAGGGTGAATTTGAAGTTCCATCCTAAATCAGCCCTTCCGGGAAAGCAATAGACAGGGTGTGTGTGAGATAATGGGGTCTGCAGGGGTTGGAGTGGGGGCATCCCTGTTCTTAACTTGGACAATCCTGTGCTCATCAGGTCAGGTGTGAATCCATGGGGCTGTGGAACGTAGGCCACTTGGGGGCGCTGTGGCCCCACAATGCTGCAGGGAACCCTGGGAGGTGTGCGAGGGTGGCCGGGAAAGGAGGGTGGAAGGGAATGCCTGGCTGCCTGCTGGCATCAGGAGATTAGGTGGATATTAGAGTAGGTTCTGGCCTGGGACTGCCCAGGGAAAGGTAGGGCCGGGATTTCACCAAGCAAGGAGTGTCTCTGCCTCTGCATGGGCAGTAGAGGGTGTAGGGGCTGGGGTGGCAAGGGCTGGGAATCAGTGTCAAGGCAGAGACAGGGTGGGCAGAGGAAAATGAAGTGTGATGTGGGCATGTGGGGACTGTGCCCAACCACCGCCCCTTTAGTTGAAGGTCTGTGCGGGACAGGAATGCTGCGTGGAGCTGCTGAGCCTGGGTCTTTCAATGGGTGAACAAGGCAAGACTGGCCTGCAGAGACAGTACCTGGAAAAGGCCAAGGCAAGGAATTGGGTGACACTTTTCTACCCCCACTCAGGGAGTGACCTGAGGAGGGTGCTGCCAGCCAGAGGGGCTCAGGTCCTGGTGAGCTGACAGGCTTTTCCCCCTGACACTTCCTGTTGCTTCTATATGTGATCTGGTTTAATGCTCACTGAAATCATGTAAGGTAGGTATAATTTCACCTGTTTATACATCCGAAGGAAAGCAGCTGTCCTGGGTCTCATATTAAGTAATTGGCTGAGGTGTTTTCCTCCGACACCTCTGCACCAGCCCTCTCCCCCGGCTCTATATATCTGTCCCTTCATCTGGCTTCCCCTTTCCAGGTCACGTTAGCAGGAGGGCAAGGTCGTGCCTCATATGTGACCATTATAACCTCTTCCCTGACAAGTCCAAGGAACACGTGACTTCCAGGCCAAGCGTATCCATTCACCTTTCACTGAAGCAAAACAGAAGGATGAAATTTTCCGCACTGTAGACTTCCTGTAACTGATACAATCTACCTTGAGGAAAAGTAACAAGAAAAATTGCTATTCATTCATTATTATTTTATTTATTTTATTTGATATATGTTTGGAGGTTCTTTCTTTGTATAGATATTTTATGACAAAAAATGCAAAATGAAAAAAGAACAAATGAAAATAAAAAAGAAAAGCTTTAAAGAATGATAAATATGTTTCTTACCTTTTAGAGTATTAAGGTTTGCATTAATTTTTTTTAACTTATTCAAAGTAGTTTGTTCAGTTTCTGAATTATACAGCTTTCCTTTTTTTCTTCTCTTTCTCTCCTTAGCTACCTACACTTTGTTCTGCCAGCTTTTTTAGTTTAATAACTGAAGGCTATCTTTTAAACTGAATTTTTTTTTTTTTTTTTGAGACGGAGTCTCGCTCTGTC